GTGTTGATGCTAAAAAATGTCAACAACAGGGATGAACTGTACACTACTCCGGGTACTCGGTTCTTAAAAATAAACATATGATTTTAGCTATACAAAATCAAGAATAAAAAAGAATGAAGATAAATCTTATTTTTCATGGACATTTTGGAGGAAATGTTTCTCTCTCTCTCTCTTCCGATATTTTCTTCTTTGGATAAGATTGGCTTCCTTTTTTACAATGATTCTAGCCAAGTATATATATGGCCAAACATGTGGTCATTGAATAATTAGAAATAAAATAATACAAATGATATTTTAATGTGTTGTGCCCGTGTGGGGCCAAATTATGCACTTTACAGCTTCGATAGACGTCTATCTTGTCGGTAGTCAAAAGGCGACTTCTTTATTGTATCCGGGTTGGGCTGGTGATATTAAATTCCGCTCGGCCCGGATGTGCACGCTCTTGATGTTTGAGGACTCGGTCAATTTTAAATGATCAGATTGAAAAACCTGCTATTTGTATATTTATTTATCACATATTTTAACCCTCATTTATTTTTCCACGTGTCGCCTTTTTATTAATCGTAGCCAAATTGGGTATCACTAATATGCTCCCGAGTTTAGGACATGTTCTGGATAGAACTGTTTTGAAGTAGCGTTATTATACAATTTGGTAGATTTTTACCTACAACATTTTGAGCTTAGAGATCTTTACGCTGCGGTAAATAACGTTTGTGTGATCAACTTTCTATCTTATCGAAGTTTACGAATGAATGCGTGTTGATATGTAATTTCTGGGTATGTGTAATTTCTATGTTATCGACGTTTTGTGAGCTTTAAGCTCTTTATGCTATGCAGGAGTGTATGTGTAATGCGAGCATGTGATGAATGCTTAAGTTTATGATCAATCTATGTGATAGATATTCGGTAAATGAGATTACCTTGCCCTATAGATCGTTGGGCCATTTAGATTTGAGATCGGCTAAAATCGTTTTGAGGTATTATCGTACTATTATTTTGTCTTGTCGAACTGTGTTTGAATTCGGTTTTTAGTACTGAAAACAACTTTATCGGGCTTGTGGCCTTCTCGAACTGCTTCAGAGTCTGAGATTTTACTCTTATAGAGTCGTTTTATTTTGCGCCGAGCATATTTACATTATTCGGACGTTTACCCTTATCGGGTTTCATTCGTTTTCAACCGAGCAAACTAACGCTGCTCGAACGTTTACCCTTATAGGGTTTCATTCATTTTCCACCGAGAAAATTGACGTTGCTCTAACGTTTACACTTATAGGGTTTCATTCATTTTCAGCCGAGCAAATTAACATTGCTTGGACATTTACCTTAAAGGGTTTCATTCGTTTTCAGCCGAGCAAATTAACGTTGGTCAGACGTTTACCCCTATAGGGTTTCATTCGACTTGTACTCCTTTTGAGCTTGGTCCTTTGCGTGAATAAATAATCGGCCCCGACGCGAATGAGCTGTGCTAGTCGCGAATGAATAAGAAATCAGTCTGTTCGCCGAACGAATAAGAAATCGGTCTGGTAGAGCTAGGGCTCGTCATCGGACGAATAAGAAATCGACCTGGTAGAGCTGGGGCTCATCGACAGGCTGGGTGGAGACGTCGGCCTGGCTTGAGCAAGAGCTCAACGACGGGCTAAGAGGAGACGTCGTTCTGGCCAGAGCAAAGGCTCGATGGCGGGCGAAATAATGACGTCGGCGAAAAAAATATAGACATCGGCTCAGCTGGAGTAGTGACTTGACGGCGAGAAAAATAATGATGTCGGCTCAGCCGGAATTGAGGCTCTACGGCGAGGAAGATATGGATGGTCGGCTCAGCCTGAGTCGAGGCTCTACGGCAAGGAAGATATGGACGTCGGCTCAGCCGGAGTTTAGGCTCTACGGCGAGGAAATATGGACGTTGACTCAGCCGGAGTCAAGGCTCTACGGTGAGGAAGATATGGACGTCGGCTCATCCAGAGTCGAGGCTCTACGGCGAGAAAATATGGACATCGACTCAGCTGGAGTCGAGGCTCTATGACGATGAAGATATGGACGCCGGCTCAGTTGGAGTCGAGGTTCTACGGCAAGGAGATACGGACTTCGGCTCAGCCGGAGTCGAGGCTCTACGGCGAGGAAGATATGGACATCGGCTCAGCCGGAATCGAGGCTCTACGGCGAGGAAGATATGTACATCGGCTTAGCCTGAGTCGAGGATCTACGGCAAGGAAATATGGACGTCGTCTCATGCATAGATATGGAAGTCGGCTTAGCCGAAGTCGAGGCTCTATGGCGAGGAAGATATGTACGTTGGCTCAGCCGGAGTCGAGGCTCTACGGCGAGGAAGATATGTAAGTCGGCTTAGCCGGAGTCGAGGCTCTACAACAAGGAAATATGGACGTCGTCTCAGGCGTAGATAAATTCGGCCCCGACATTGATAAATGAACTCGGCCCCGTCGCAAGTAAGTTAATTCAGCCCCGGCATTGATGAATGCGGTTGAAAATGAGTAAATGATGAATCGGTCCAGTGGGACTGGGCTTGTCTGCAAACGAATAATAACTCGATCCAAGAAAGCTGGTCCAGTCGGCGAGTGAACGATAAACCAACGCAGAGTGAATGAACCAGGAATTGTCGGTGAGTGAATTCTGCTTTTCTAGCCACGAGGTCGGGCCCCAATTGCAAGTCTGGGCCTTGTTGAGAAATTATCCCCATCTTCAGTAGGCGAACAAGTGTTGAGGTCGGCCGAGCGATGAAGTCAGCCTGTCTATGGAAGTCGGCCGAGCGATGAAGTCAGCCTGTCTATGGAAGTCGGCCGAGCGATGAAGTCAGCCTGTCTATGGAAGTCGGCTGATTTTTTATGGCTATTAGCTAGGTCGTCCGTGATTAGGTCGCGATTTCGGGCAAGGCAATCTTTGAGGTTGGTCGTCCGTCATTCGGTTTGGTGGATTTATTCGGATGACGAAGTGGTCGGGCCGGTTACAATTTGGGGATCCATCAATGAACGGTTGCTATCTCTGGTCTTTTCGCTCTTTCATTCTTATTTTCATATTATTTTTGAGTGTATGCATACTACGTGTACATATTTATTTTTTATGTATATATATATATATATATATATATATATATTTATATATACATATGTATGTATGTATGTATTTATAATGAAATTGAGAGTAGGATTACCTGGGGTTGGTGCAGAATGTAGGCCTAAGAATATTACCGACTGGAGAGCTTTATTCTTCAGGCCCCTGCCGAGCTCTTTGACTTCCAGACTTTTGGTCGTTTACTCCCAGGGGCGGATTTAGCTTATAAAATGAGTGGGGGCCTACTTGTTTTTGAAAAGAAATATAATATATCATAACAAAGTATAAGTACCAAAATACAAATTTATAGTATAAATTTATACAAATTTATGTATATAATATTTTGTATGTTTGATGATTTAAGACCTGCAAAATTCGATTATTTGCTTCTGATGTTTGCATGAGAATTGTAGAGGCATGTCTTAGGATTCATATGCAACTGGATTTGTGTCAATATGAATTATGTGTTGTAAATGGTGTCGATTTCAAAATCGCTGCGCGGGTTATATTTTGGAAATTTATGTGTTGTTTTCAGAAAAAAAAAAAAATCAAATTTGTTTTTCATTGCTTGCTTATATGAACTATATGAGTCGGGTCTGATCAAATGAATGTCGAAATGAGTGAACCCATGTGTGGAATAGTTATTCACAAGATTATTTTAATAAATGTAGGTGGTTGACGAGTCGAGCTCACCTTCCAATCCATTGTTGAGCTTTATATCATGCTGTTACCAGATGGGTTTTATTTAAAATTTGCTATGTTGTAAATGTTATAAATGTATAATTTGTGGTTTGATCAATGAATGCTTGTGAACCATGTAGCCTTTAATGTGAGTTGTACAGCCCATCGAACGGTTATCCCCGTAGCTATAAAACGTACCCGATGGGTAGTCTCCTTTATTTATGTATGGCCGTAAGACCGGGGCATGGGCCATCGACTGGTGATCTTGTAAGACCAATTCGTAGGTTTTGGCCGGCGGGGTGGATTACTCCTACTGGCTGGGCATCGTTGTAAGACCAAGGCGTAGGTTTTGGCATTCGAATCGAGTATCAGCAATAGTCTATGTGTAGGTGTTCACATGAGGGTTGACTTTGGGATAGGAGATGGGATAATTAATTGATTCGTATACATGCTACAACCATACCTGACTTATTTATGATTACTGCTTTTATATATTGATCAATGTTTACTGCATAGTGGTGAGCACTACGATTTCCATTTGTGTTCACTCCCACCTGAAATTAACGTTTCAGGTTAAGCAAGGTGGGTACGACGGCGGAGTAGAGCGAGTGGTAGTCGGTCTATGATACCGGTTTTATTATTTGTTATGCTTCCGCATTATGAACTGATTTATGATTTAAGAACTTGGGATAATACTGGATTTATGATTTATGGATATTATGATTGAAATAATGTTAAGGAGATGCTCCTTGGATTCCATGATGATTGTTGAAACCCGGTTTGGGTAATTGATGAATTTATGAGATCCCGTTTTGGGAATTGGATGATTGATAATTTAAGAATTGATATTATGTCATGCAAATGATTGGAAATAAATGAGTAACGCTACAAATGTTCGAAATGAATTTTGAAAAATTTAATCTGATTTTTCTGAAAGTTCGATTTTTCTGTAAAATCAAAGTGGGGTGTTACACGTACCCAACCACAAAAGAGACAAAAATGAGTATTCTAATATTTTATTTTAATTTTTGTAATTTCATTTTAATTGAGTTCGTAACTTCTTTAATTATATGATAAAATATTAAATTTTTTGCAATCATTTCGAATTTATTTATAAATTTTTTAATTAATTTTGCACAACTAAAATATTAACACAAACCAATTGTAGATAATACTTAATAAATAAATAAATAAAAACAAACATTTTAGCTAGGTTGATTGAATTGGGTTGGAAATAAATATAAGTTGAGTTAGACATGGCCAACTGTCGGGCCGGGCCAGGCCGTGGTGGGCGGGACCCAACGGTTCATTGAACAGCCGGTGTTTTACTTTTTAAAAAAAATTTAACTACGACCCGCCTTTCGACCCGGAACAGGAAGGTCAAAAAAGGAAAATGGAGACCTGCAACTGCCTTAAAGGCTAAGGGTCCGATTCTCAAGCGGCTGCAACATGCCTCCGGGTTTCTGGTGCTCAGCCTTCACTTGCTGACACATTAGACAACCACTCACGAATCGGGCCACTTGCCTCTTCATACCTCGCCACCAAAATGACTTCCGGAGGTCCTGATACATCTTCGAGCTACTAGGATGGATGGTGTACGGGGCACTATGGGCTTCTCTCAATATCTCCTTTCGCAGCTCCCACACCTTCGGAACACATAGTCTACCCTCGAAGACTAATGCCCCATCAGATGCGACTGTGAATCCTCCGACTCGACCGGCTAACATCAACTCCTTCATTCGACAAAGGAAACGATCATTCGGCTGCTCGGCGATAATCCTCTCACGGAGAGTCGGTCCCACAACCAAGGCGGTCAACACACCTCTGGCTGTCGAAGTCGACTCCACTGCCTCTAACTGCAGTCGCTCGAACTCCCGAACTAGGACATCCTGATCGGTGAACAAGCAAGACAACTGGCCATGACTCTTCCGACTCAACGCGTTGGCGACCACGTTAGTTTTCCCGGGATGGTAGCTAATCGTGCAATCGTAGTCCTTGACCAACTCAAGCCATCTCCTTTGGCGCATATTGAGCTCCTTCTGAGTAAAGATATACTTCAAGCTCTTATGATCGGTGAAAATCTCACACTTGCCTCCATAGAGGTAGTGCCGCCAAATCTTCAAGGCGTCGACAACAGCAGCTAACTCAAGATCATGAGTGGGGTAGTTCTGCTCATGAGGCTTCAGCTGCCTCGAAGCATAAGCTACAACCTTCCCTTGCTGCGTTAGGACACATCCCAAACCCATCTTCGAAGCGTCACTATAGATGGTGAACTCCAAAGTAGGATCGGGAATCGACAAGACGGGTGCGGTGGTAAGTCTCCTCTTCAACTCTTGGAAACTATCCTCGCACTCAGAACTCCATTCAAACCTCACGGCCTTCTTCGTAAGGTTAGTTAGGGGTCGGGCTATCTTCGAGAAGCCCTCGATGAATCTTCTGTAGTATCCTGCTAACCCCAGGAAACTACGAACGTCGCTGGCACTTCTTGGTGTTTCCCACTTGCTCACAGCCTCTATCTTGCTGGGATCCACCTCAATGCCTCTAGCTGTCACAATGTGGCCAAGGAAAGCCACACGATCCAGCCAGAACTCACACTTCGAAAACTTCGCGTACAGCTTCTCTCTGCGAAGAGTCTCCAGCACAATCCTCAAATGCTCCTTGTGCTGATCGATGTCTCGAGAATAGACCAGAATGTCGTCGATGAAAACGATAACGAACTGGTCCAGATAAGAATGGAAGACCCTATTCATAAGGTCCATGAACACGGCCGGGGCATTGCTGAGTCCGAATGGCATTACCACAAACACGTAGTGGCCATATCGGGTACGGAACGTGGTCTTAGAGATATCCGACTCCTGGATCTTCAGCTGATGATAGCCAGACCTCAAATCGATCTTCGAGAAAACGCTGGCTCCCCTCAGCTGGTCGAAGAGATCCTCCATACGAAGAAGAGGGTACTTGTTCTTAACCGTCAGATGGTTATGCTCGCGATAATCAATGCACATGCGCATGGATCCGTCTTTCTTCTTCACGAATAGGACGGGCGCACCCCACGGAGAAACACTCGGTCGAATAAAACCGAGCTTGAGCAGTTCTTGGATTTGGGCCTTGAGCTCCTGAAGCTCCTTCGGCGCCATACGATAGGGAGCCTTAGAAACCGGGCCGGCTCCTGGAATAAGATCGATGGTGAATTCAACTTGACGGTTGGGTGGTCCTCGGGGCAGCACGTCGGGAAAGACATCAAGATACTCGCAGACGATGGATACTCTCTCGGGTGTACGCTCATCAACGGCATCAGACACCAAAGAGACAAGAGAGCCTTGACAGCTACCCTTGGAAAGGCTCTTGCTAGCTTGCAAAGAAGAGATGACTCGAGGCACAGTCCTCGAATTCACCCCATAAAGACAACAGGCTGATCGGAATCAGGGAAGAGAGTGACTTCACGCTCCTGGCACCGGATGTCGGCTCGATAACGAGTGAGCCAGTCCATGCCCAAGATCACGTCGAAGTCTCGCATTTCAATCACATAAACATCAGCTTCGAAAACACGCCCACCAATAGAAACAGGAAGATCACAAACCAAAGAATCAGACACAATAGTTTTTCCCGAGGCTAGGCTAACCTCGAGAGGATAAACTTGGCAAACATTCACAAAAGACAAGGCCTCAAGACAATGGGATGAAATAAACGAGTGGGTTGCTCCAGTATCACACAAAGCAAAGACAGGCACGTTGGATAACGAAAGCATTCCGGACATGGTACATGTGTTGTTGTTGGCCGCCTCGTCATGAGTGATGGTGTAGACACGAGCCTGGCCTCCAGCCCTCTGCTGGTTAGGTGGGGGCTGTCTGTGCTGCTGCTGCTGGTTCGGCCTCCTTGGCTCTGGGCAGGTGCGGGAGAAGTGGCCCTTCCTCTGGCAGTTGTAACAAGTCATGTCGGCAGCCCGACACTGGTTGGCCTCGTAGACTCGTCCACATGCTCCACAGGGTGGGGTTCCAACGGGAATCTGGCGAAGAGGCTGGACAAACTGTGCAGCAGGCTGCTGCTGAGGCTGGCGCGGGCCATTGTTTGATCGCTTGTTCTTCTTGCGGTTCTGCTGATCATTCTTCCTCTTGCCAGAGCTAGAGGACGGGGGAGCTGAAGCATATGGAACCGGATACGGATAAGGCGCCTGAGCAATAAGCAGCGGCTGATAAGATGACGGCGGAATGGCAGGAGATACAGCCTGGATAGGCTGAGCAGCATGATAAAAAGAAGGAACAGGATCAGACGGGACGAGAAGGCTCTCCACTCTCTGAGCCCGACTAATAGTGTCGTCATAAGACAACAGTCCGTGACTCCCGACTAGCTCACGGATTCTCGAATTTAGCCCTTTCAGAAACTTGTTGGCTTTCTTCTCGTCGGTGCTCACAGAATCACCAGCAAAAAGGCACATTCGGGTGAAAGTGCGGATGTAGTCGTCCACGCTGGTACCGCCCTGCTGAAGATGGTAGAACTCGTGCTCCATGCGATCCCAAAAACTCTGGGGAAGGAACTTGCTACGAACCATTGCCTTCATCTGCTCCCAAGTGAGGGCATTGAGCTCAGCCTCTGGCTTCCGAGCCCAGTGTTCGACCCACCAGTCGGAAGCATCTGCCTTCATCTGGAAGGCGGCGAGGGCTACTCGCTGTCTATCGGGAAGAGGGAGCACAACGAAGATCTTATCAAGCTCCTTCATCCACTCGAGCACAGCAGTGGGGACCTCACTCCCCGAGAAAGTGGGCGCATGCATGCCCTGAAACTGAACAATGAGTCTGGGAAAATCCATGGCCGGAGGGGCCTGCTGGTTAGGAGGAGGTGGAGGTGGAGGTGGAGTTTGCTGACGGTTGCGAGCATTGCGATTACGAGTGACCATAGTTCTACATTGAACAAGCCGGAAAAGTTTAACACCCAAAACAAAATTTAAAAAATAAATATTGGAAGTCTAGAGTTCGCCACGAAACACTAGAGTTCAAAATAATTCAAGGTGGATAGATTTCCTAAGCCCCAGATAAATAAACAAAACCACAATTTCATACCTTGAGCTGGCGCGGCGAGACGAAGCGAGTGGTCAATGGTCATATAACAATTAATCACAAAAGAACCAGTCTACAGAAAAGCAAGACTGGCTCTGATACCAAACTGTAACGCCCCGTTTTAATTTCAAGAATTTACCATATTTATTTAATAAAAATCAGAGTTTTTTTTTAAAAAATTTAAATTAAAACCTTTATCGAGAAACGGGCGCTACTTACTAACATCATTAAATAACACACATGCACGAACTATCAATAAGACAAGTTCCAAATAAACGTAAGTCTTAAAAACCATTTCAAAAGATCCAACATTATTCAAAGCTCAACCCAATTCAACATAGTTCGAAAAGTGAAAGCAGTAAATAATCCAAGGCAATAATAGCAAACAAATAAAGTTCGAGTTTAAGCGGAAGCATAGATTTATCGACACATATGACCACCATCTCGCTTGTCCTACGCCACCGCCTCCAGCTCGTCTTAACCTAAAAACAAAGGAAGAGAGAAACAACAAGAAAATAATGGGGGTGAGCAACCAACTAGCTCACCTTTATCGCACGGTTATCTGGTATAATTATTTAGAAAGCATTTCCAGTTCAAAACAGTATCAATATCGGTATGCACAGAATTCAAAGCCTAAACCCCCTTCCCAGCCATATCGCAAACCTCCTATGTACATACAACAACCTTCCGGATACGACGGCATAGCTGTAACTGAAAACCTTCCCACCCCCGGATACGACGGTACATGGGATCCTTTCCAGGAGACAGTGAAGTTGAATTACCCCTCCGCTCTACACGGATTCGAGTAAATCAGACAATCCCCTCCGCTCTCCACGGATTCGGGCGTCCACCTCCCGGATACAACGGGCAGGCGACTTTCACTGCTTTCGCATTCATCAAGGCACTAGCATTCGGGACACTTAGACTAGAGTTCTCATGCATACAAAAATTTTCAAAAGAAAGCATTACACGAAATAATAAATGCGATAAATATGGAATACATCATAAATGTACCCACCTGATAGCAGCACGGTTCACAGTCACAAATCTCGAAATAAGGCAAGATCAACACTTCTAGACACCTACATGATGTCAAGATCCTATAATCAGAATCTATCTCGACTTAAATCGGAAATCACAAGACAGACCTAGTCGAACTCGTTTCGACTAAGTAGTTCGTGAAGTCCTGTGGATGTGGAACACTAAGACTCGGCCCTAAACTCGACCAAACCACTTAAGGGAGTTCACAAAAATCCATCTAAGGTTTGACCAAGTCAAACTCACATAAAAACCAAAAAAGCAAGTCGATCCAAATTCCATATAACAATTATGCTCGAAAATTGAAATCATTTAATCGCGTGAAAAATAAAAGGTCAAGATATCCTACGAATTAAGCTCTGAAAATTTATACAAAATTTTATCTCCCAGAAACATGTAAAATCACAAAGTTTCAGCTTTAAACTCAAAATACCCTATTTTATAAAATTCGAATAGTAATTCAGAAAAAAGGGCACATTAATTCATACTCAGACTTAATGAATGAAACTGAACCTGAAAATTTTACACAGCAACATACAGTATGCCAAAGCCAACTTATAAAAATTTCAGCCTTAAATGATAACTACTGCTATTTTTAAAAATTCAAACGAGCAACAACAGTTTATCAAATTTAAATTACAACTGAATCAAAACAGACACTAAACATTCCCATATTTTACAAACATGATTAAACACTTAAAATATGACTCTCAGCAAAATTTCAGAATTTTCCATGCAGTAACCGATTTTTAAAAATTCAAACAACATTTCTGCCGAATCAATAAATAAAATATTATCCATATCAAATCAACTCCAAAAATTCCAAACATTTAACACAACACATATAAGTTACAGGGGCACGACATATTCGAATTTCAGCTCATTTTAGTCAAGCATGAATTTATTATGCATTTAACAATATTCTGGACAGAATACAACTTAATTATTAAAAATAGCTACAGGTCTCTAAAAATTATGAAAATTTTCCACAAGGCAGAATATGAACAGATAACACATCCCTAAAAATTTCACATCGTTTCGAGCAGCGAGCTATTTTTAAAAATTCGAACATCAGAACAGCGATTAACAAGCACGACTATTTGGCAATTAAATCATAACATGAAATTTATCATCCGAGGCCTTTACATAAGACCAAGGACTCGACATTGTTCCATTATCCACCGACTTACACGACTTTCGAGGTCTCGTTCGATTTTTGAGAAAATCGAAGAGATCCTGAACATACGAACACAATAATCGCAACAATTCATATAGTTGAACATATTCACACAATAAATTCACATTGCATATATCACACGAGCACAACATGAATATGAACAATTTAACGAACATATATGAATTAAATGAGACGGAAAAACGACAAGGTACCGTTCTCGGGAAAATCGAAAACGTCACGAACACGAAAGCTCGACGGTAAACTCGTCTCGCCGGAAAAGAGAGCTCGACGTGCACGGGAGGAAGAGGGAAGCTTGCTGTTGGTTCACGGGCTCGCCGGGAACGGAAAGGAGGGTCGCCGGACGCTGCTCGAAGAGACGTCGAGCTCGCCGGAACAATTCAAAGCTTCGCGGCGCGGTGGCAGGAGGTCTGCTCGAAATCGCCGGAAAAACGCGGAGCAGGGTCGTCGGACTGGTTTCTTCACGCCGACGTTGATGGACGATGCGCGGAGGAGCAGCGAGCAGCGGCAGGAGAAGGGTCACGGCGCGGCGAGGGGTCAGCGATGGCGGGGCTTCTGTAACTCGCCGGACTGGTTCAAGGTCGCCGGAGATGAGGGCGAGATGATGATGATGACGAAGGTGATGCGATGGTGATGAGAGCACGATGATGAGCGCGCGTGGTGAGGGAGATCGCGATGCTTCAACAGAACAAAAAAAATATATTGCTGCAGGATTTATTTATGAAGAGAACAAAAGAGGCGATCGATATATACACTTATATATACACATACGTATATTAGGTTTGGGAAAATAAAATCTTGTTGTCCAAGACAACACAAAAATCACGTCCAAAATAAAAGAAAAAGGAAATCTGTCGGGCCGGGCCCGAGTGGGCCAATAAGATTTTTGGGCCGGTTGGGACAACAAAACAGCTCACGGGCTCAAATAAAAATTTAAACAGATATATTCGGGCCAAAACGGTTCCAACGAAAATTATCGGGCTCGATTTCGAATGCAAACGCTCGATAAAAATAAACCGAACAATATATATATATATATATTTTACATATTATCACATACACATTTATTCATATTAATAATTTAATTAAATCACAAAATCCATTAAACAATTAGACAAATTTCACAATTAGCATTTAATCACATTTGACAAATAAATAAACATAATGGCATTCAATAAAATAAAATATAAATATTATCACCAATTAATAATAACAATAATAATAGAAATAAAAAAATATAAAAATAAATACCAAATAATCCACAAATAAACGGGGCATTACAATCAGGTTGCACGTAAAGTAGAAAAAAGGGGAAAAAACTTGTTCCGCCTCCATATACATATCCTCGGGAGTAACTTACAGTGCGGCGGCAAATTTGGAGTCTGAGCTCTTCGATCTGGTTGATTTGGAGGTCCGGTTGTTTTATCTTGGTGATCCGAGCTGGACCTGGATGTTAACTAAGGTCGGCACCTAATCCTTGCGCTCCACGTATCATTTCTGACTAAGAAATAAAGTTGCATTATTTTCATTATAGTATGCATGTCATGAAAGCTTCATAGTACTAGGGTCGTATAGGAGGTAGACTAGATGATTTGTGTTCATGTTGCGATTATGATTTTAAGTCATTATTCTGAATAGACTGCATGGTATTCCCATGGTGAGCTAGTTGGTTTGCTCACCCCCATTATTTCCCCTTTTGAGGTTGAGTTGGTGGCTATGGCATGCAACTTCTATCTTGTATCTGCTATTCCTTGGTCACATTTTGTTTCCCCTTGTTATTTAGTATTTCCGAGGACGAAAATCTTTTAAGGAGGGTAGATTGTAGTGCCTCGTTTGCTTCTCGTGAGTTTTAGCATTTTTATTTCATTTATTGGCTTGCTTTTATTTATTTATTTGTCTGCTTTCGTTTATTGATTGCCTGTATTTATCTTATTATCACTACTTGATTTTATTTATTTTTTATGTGCTTGCTTTTATTTTGTGTTATGTACATTGCTTGCTTTTATTCTATTTTATTTTATTTATGTGCTTGCTCTTATTTCCATTTGTATGCTTGGTTTATTATTGTGTGTGCCTTGTCTTTTATTTCATATTTGATTTCTAGTTAGATTGTTCGAGTTCGTTAGAATCGCGTTGCATTCTCGAGCCATTTTTTCAAGAGAGCCTCGAGTTTAATATTGGCCCAAATTTATTTGAAAAATTTTGGTCCACTTGGATTTTATTTTTTTGAACCCTTTGAGCTATTAAAATCGACCCAAATTATTTTAACTTTCAGCTCATTTGAAGTAAATTCTGGCCCTTTGAACTACAAAATTGGCCCACTTGGATGTTTTTTTTAAGCAGAATTGTTAAATATCTTGGCCCATTGGAGTTAAAATTTCAGCAGCCTTATTCTTTTTTCTCCCCCACGTGTGCCTGACCGATTCAAAACGTTGTTGAGATTTTGTGGGGAGATCTATCGACTGCGCGCGTCTCTCTATCGCTCACAAAATCTCGACCGAGGAGAATATTACTTCATCAGAAAGTTCTATCTCATTCGTTAGCAGCCCTTTCTTTCTCGCATATCAGTAGCAGCGTAAAAATAAAAATTCTGCCGCCATTCTTTCTGGTGAGACTCAGTTCGCCGGCGTCTCTCCGAGCATCCCTTGCCGTCTCCGACCATCGCGCCCTCCTCAGAAAGCAGCCGCTGACCAGCAGTCGCCATCCGCGAGCAGCCGCAGCAAGCCCGTTTGCAGCCCCGTCCACCATTATTTCCAGCGACCACCATCCTCGCCGCGCGTCCTAGCCTCCGACCAGCGATCGTGACCGTTGCCGTCGTCGACCCCTAAGCAGTGCTGTCGTCGCCACCGTTCACTGGAGTAGCAGGTCTTGTTTTGTCGCCGTTCGCCATCGAGTCGTTCATCGATCTTGCGAGTTTCCGTTCGTCACCAAGTCTCAGCCACCGTTCATCGTGAGGACTCTCTGTCCGTGGTCAGACCGTTCGTAAGCATCGCCGTGTTCGTCGAGGCTTTCGATTCCATCATCCGTTCGTTTCATTCATCTCATCTGATTTTTTAACCGAAGTTGTAGATTCCCGAAGGAAGGTATATCGCTCGAACCTTCTCGTTATTATTGCTCGTGTTGAAATCGTTCTATTATATCATGTTCGGAAAAAACTTTGTTGTTGGTTGGTCAGTTTACGTATCGATTCATATATTCGTGTTATTCGTTGTGTTGTTTCGTGAAATTTTCGTGGGTATTCGGAACTCTCGATTCGAAAATCAAGCTTCTAGTTGCTGTGATTATTTCGTAGAAATTTCAGAGCCTCATTGTATTTTCCGAGTTGTCATCGTCTTATCGTTCGTGTAAATGTTTCGTTCGAGCTTTGTTATTGTCGTCTCGTTTTCCGATCCCAAAAACCCGATTTTTATAAGTTTTTGAAACTCTGAAAATTTATTTTTATTTTACATTTTTCTGAATTTTTTTGAACCCTCGGCGTGCTCCTAATCATTGTCAAAAGTTCTCGCTGGATCTTTTCCCAGCCGTTCAGCCACAGTTCTGGTGAGCCGCAGGCCATGTTCATTTGTCTCGCAGCCCAACCGGCCTCTTTCCAGCACACAGCCAACACTAGAGAGCCCATGTGTTTAGCCCGTGCCTGAGCCAGGACCCTCCTTTTTTCCCGCAGCCCATCGGCCTAGTAGTCTTGCCCCAGCAGCCCACTATCGGAGACCCAAATTCGCGCAGACCCCTTTGCAAAGGGAGAAAACGCGGGGGTCGTGTTCGGCCTGCATTGAGCCCGCGCGCGGCCCGTCAGGAGTCAGCAGCTCCAGCCTGCAGTAGGGCCGCTGAAGCCCGCGAGTCCCAACTGGTAGCAAGCCTGGTCCGGCCCAATTCACGTTGGAGAAGTCCGAACCCATTTCGGACGGCAAGCCCAATTTCGCGGCAGCTTTTGCCCAACGCGACCCAGTTGTGAATTTTTGTGTTCCGGCAGTCCGTTTTTCGTGCCGAAACCATTTTTAAAAATATATTACAAAATGATAGAAATCCGGGAAAAAACATTTAAGTCTCGTGACCCATTTTCTTTTCCCGAGTCTTTTCTTGTAAAAATTTCCGAGAGTTCCGAGTCCACAAAAAATCCGATAAGATCCCTTAATCATTATTTTTTATTAAGTGTGGGTTTTCTTTAATTTTCAAGCAGTGAGATAGATTATTGATATATTATCTCACTTAAATGTTGGTTTTTGAGGAAGTCGAACCAAAAACCAAATGTTTTTTGCCAAGACAAAAACAGATGAGAAAATTACCCCCTGGACGGCTTCATTTATTATTATTTCCCAAGATACGAGTTCAGAAATTTCAATCCACTTCAACATAAATTGGTTCATATTTACGAGTTTATAAACACTTTAATCCCATAAATATATTCACTTCTTTCAACCTCTCTTTAATTATCTCCATACACAAAGGATCGACATATCGCGGCCAATCCTCCCCCTTGTCTGCATCTCGCCGCCAACAAAGGATCGACATATCGCGGTCAATCATCCCCGTCCAGAAGGTCTGCATCTTGCCGCCAACAAAGGATCGGCATCTCGCGGCCAACGTCTCCCCCACCGACTCCCTCCTCCCGCCGCTTGCCCCGTCCGCCGCCCCGATCGAGGTGTGTTTAATGATTTAGGGTTTAGTAAATTTTAATTTACGTCGGCGATCCTGACATATCGATGCTTTCATCTTCTCTTCCAAAGGGTGGTACGACAAGCTGGATGCTTTAAACCGCTGCTTCTTATGGGGGATCTGAAATAAGGCATACATTTAGTAAATTTTTTGCTTTGGGTGTTTCATTGATTGATCTTAGATATATGATGTAGCGCCCCATTTATTTATTTATTATTATAATTTATATTATTTATTGTTATTCCTATTATTAATATAATAATAATAATAATAATTATTATTATTTTAATTAATGACATTTTATTTTATTACTTTATAAGCTTTGCTTATGTGATAATATATTATATTATCATGTGGATAATATAGTTTATATATAGCTCATTCGATTTTATTTTATCGATCGCCGTTTAAATTTTCGGTTTAATCGCGTAAGCCGAATTATAGTCCGATTTTGATTCCGTAAAAATTATTTTTCCACTCTTATCCTCCTTCAATGCTTGGTCCATATTTCATGCTGTTATTAGTAGGTTTATAGGATATTTTTCTAAGTCAAATCCATGTTAGCGGTTAATTATGTTAATGATAGTAGCATGTGCATTGCAATTGTTTATTCCACATGTAAGACTTTGTTACCTCATTCCCTCATCACCATGTGCATAACCAAGAGCTTTTTTCCAGCTCATTAGCAACCAAACTCACGTTTGAAATTCAGTAAGCTAAGACAAATCACATGCAAAATGTCAACCATCCTTAGCATTTAGTAGAACATGTGCTATGATGATATTTTTAATGCTATTGTAAGAAATTGTTTTGTCTTACCTTATGGTTGGCCAAATCTTGTTCCCTACTCCATGTGTACTTAATCAGATGCTCTTTTGTTCAGCTAACCCCACATTTGGTCGAGCATAATATCCCCAAGTCAACTAGACAACTCATGTGCATGTAGGGAAGTTCAACCGCCAATTCCTACCATTTCTTACATCTTGTTTGTACCCATATGAGAGATATTATAAGTCTCATTTTCTAGCTGAGAATAGACATTATACCTTCAGCAAACACTTAGCAAATTTCGTTCTAAACTCCTCCCTCAAAGGCAAAAGCTGAAGGTACGCCACAAGTTCAAGCAAAGCCAAGAGAACCGAGCATCCCCTTTTTCCTTTCATTTTCTTGTTTAGTTGAACAAGGTAAGAAGGCTATATTTTTTACATGCCAATAGCTTAGTTGGTTTGTTATTACGTGTGTTAAAGTGTGGCTAAGTTTTAGTTTATATGAGGATATATCCATGTTGAAGGGAGATCATGTAGTAAATGACTTATATTTCGATTTATATTGCCTCTGTTGTGTTGCTAAAAAGGGCATGAAATACGCATTTTATGAAATTGTGTTCTTCATATGATATGTAGATCATTCTGTTGTGGTTCTGCGAGTTTTGGAATTTCTAAAATCCGATTTAAGATGAGAGAGATATGATTTTTACAAAAATACAGCGCGAGCAGTTTTTAACAAAACCCGGCAGCAAGTTTATGTTGAATGTTTTACCTGTTTGTTGCATTTTAATGTGCTCAAATAGAAATATGGTTTTCATGAAAGTTATAGGTCTATTTCTAAGCTTTCTGATGAGGTACAATTCATATTGATATGATTACTGTAGCTCGGTTTGTGTTAGATAGAAGTAGGATAAGCATGTAGTGAGTTATACTTTTAGATAGCAAGGTGGTTCTAAATGTTAGTTGATTTTACTCCTCTGTAATGACCTTATCTACCTTAACTTTCTAAATGAAAGCTGTAGAAATGTCTCTTAGGTTTCTAACAAGGTAAGAAGCATGTCAATATGATGAGTGTACCATGAGATGTGAGTTTTGTAAAAATGTTATGCAAGCAGTTTTTGAAAAATCGAGCTGAGTATATGATATTGATGTTTGGTCTGAAAGTGATGTTCTAACATGCTCAAATGTGAAAGTGATCTTCATGAACATTGTTGGTATGCTTCTCGTCTATCCATTGGTTTTAAAATCTGATCAATTGGAGGTCTATATAATGATTTAAACTATAAATACCGAAGTGCTGTTTGTAAACTGAACCAAGTTCCGACAGATTTTAGGACCCAAATGTTTTGGAATTTCCTTGATAGCATGTCTATAGCTCCATTTATATTGAATATACTGAGGTTCTGTCCATTACATGTTTTCCAGATTTTTCACAGCATCCCCGTTCCATATGTTTGATGTTCTAAGGCCTGCTAAATGACATTAATTTCTTCTTATGTCTTCATAAGAATTTTAGAGGTATGTCTTAGGATTCATATGCAACTGGTTTCGTGTCAATATGAATTTTTTGCTGCATTGGGTGTCGATTTCAAAATCGCTGCGCGGGTTGTGTTTCGAAAATTTATGTGGTGTTTTCGAAAATAAAATCTATCTTTTTAATGCTTACTAATATGACTTATATGGGCTGAATTGACCTATGTGTTTTTGATATAAATGTTGATATGAGTGTATCTATGTGTTGGATAGTCTTTGATAGGAACCTCGTAACAATTGTAGGTATTTGACGAGCCGTGCTATCATCCTATCGACTCTTGAGTATTTAATTGCTATTTCGGTACCAGGTGGGTTGTTATTCAAAAATTATCTATGCATATGCGTGATTTTAATTTTGATGAAAGTTTGGTGTGATCTATGTATGAAAATGAACATGTAGCCTATCGATGTGAGCTTGATGGCCATCGGTACGGTTGTCCCCGTATGATAAGATACGGTTACCCTCACATAAAGACCTATGAGAAGGCAGTGTAATTGATGCGGCACGCACTCTCATGTTTCATTGATATGGCATGGCTTAGCTTTGGTGAGCATAGATGTACATGAGTGAGTCTTTGATGAGATTAGAGTCATTGATGTGACTAGAGATGTGACATGATTTTATTGTTTATGTTCATGCTGCGACCATACCATTTATATGTTATTCATATGCATAGTGTGAGTACGATATTTAACTGTACTCACTCCCACCTGCTCTTCACGGATGTAGGTTAAGCAGTTGGCGGGTGACGAGACAAGACGGGTGGTGGTTATGTTTTTATTTATTGCTTATTTTTTTGCTTCCTCTCATTTAAGGAACTCATGTTGAGATATTTTGATTATGTCGTTTTGAACTTGAAATTATGAATTATCTTTATGATTTGGAACTTAATAAATGCTAGTTTCGTTTATGATTTATTATTCGTGCATTCTGTCTTTATCTGATGTGTTGGCATTTTCGAATAAAAATTTTTGGTAAAATAAGTAGCGCCCACTAAGTTTTTATTAAATTGAGATTTGCGAAAAATTAACTTTGATTTTTATTAATTAAATTCGATAAATCTTTAAAATAAAGTGGGGCGTTACAGTTTGGTATCAGAGCCAGTCTGCATTTCTGTAGACTGGTTTATATATGGTTAAGTGTTAGATTTTGAATTATGATCACTCGTCATCGTCATGCCGCGCTGCTTAAGGTATGTGTTTAAATAAGTATCAATGAAAATACTTATGTTATGAAATGTAAATTTTTATTTTGCCTAAGTAGCAATAAGACTACTTAGGATATGAAATGTTGAAATTTAGGGCTTAGGATCTATCCACCTTCGTTTTAAAATCAAACTCTAGTGTTTGATGTTGAACTCTAGTGATATAGAGCTAAGTTCGGGAGGTTTCTCGTTATGAGTTCCAGTATGTTGTTATCGAGATAAGTTATGCCCATAGCAGTTTCCCTTGCTATATAATTATATTCAATGTCTTCAAGTGAGGACCCGGTCAATGAGGACCGGGAATGTATTCGCCCTCTTCGAACATTTGCCGGGTTTCGAAAATATGAGATGATTCGATATCTTATAGGCTGCCATTTTTATGGATGTTCATGGCCTCTGTTCAACCTCTGGTGTGTTATATGTTTAATGTCTCTTGTGCCTTAGTAAGGGTGAGTTCATGCTAGCTCGAAGCATGGTTAGTTGGGCAAGAGATAAGGATATGTGTTTATTTGATGCTCTGACATATATGTGATCTTCGATGATTGAGGTTGAATTTATGTATTAATGTGGATTGTTATATATTATCAAACCAAAAGATGTAATAATTCAAATGAAAGGCATAAGACTTTATTTTTTTTTCTATCTTGTTTAATAAGACCGAGTTGGACCTCGGACAACATGTTTGATGGTATTGATGTTTATGTCTTAAAGTATTGATATCGAGGCTTGCTTAAAGTGTAATTTACGTGATTTCGAGGCTATGTTGTTGTGTGATCATTTTGAGTTGATGAAGGCATGAAAACTCAATTTTTTGAGCTTCAGTTACGCTCTGTTTTTGTCGAACAAGATGATGTTTCTTGAACAAGTGTTCTTCATGAGATTTGTAGTGCTCTGAATGAAATTTCTGCGAGTTTTAGAATTTTGTGATTTGGGGTTAAAATGAATTTGTTATGATTTTTCAAAGTTCGTCGAGCATGCTGTTTTGATAAACTCGGGCAGAAGGATTTGATTTTAGTTCATGGCTATTTATGATGATCATAACGTACCTGAATAGAAATGTATTTTTCATGACAAATGGAGTATATGAGGTAAGCGGCCCGTAGGAACTGGAATTATGCAATTTGGAATTTTGATTGATTTTATATGATTTTTCTAAGTTGGATTTATGTCCAGAATTATGAAACAGTGGTTGTGTGTATGCATGAAATGTATGCTCTAAATTGATGCCTTTAACGTGATGATATGTAAACATTCTCTTCATGGAATTTTTAACTTTCCTTGTGTAGTTTCTGCAGGTTTTAGGTTTATATGATCTGGAGTTCCAGTTGATTTTATATAATTTTTCTAAGTGGGAGGTACACCCAGTTTTTATGAAACCAGGATTTTGTATAAGTGTTGAATATGTACTCTATTTAGGTGACCTAAACGTGATCTTATGAAACAGTCTTCTTCATGAAGTTTGTATATTTCCATGTGTAGAT